AGTAGCTGGGACCACAGGTGCCCGCCACAACACCTGGCTATTTTTTGGTTGCAGCCATTATTGTTGTTTGGCGGGTCCGGGCTGGATTCGAACCCACCATCTTAGATGTATGTGGCTGGCGCCTTAGTCGCTTGAGCCACAGGGGCCGAGCCATTATGTACATTTCAAAGTAACCAGAAGGGAGGACTTGGAACACACAAAAAGGATAAACACTCGAGGTGATGGATACCCCAAATACTTGGACTTGATCACTACACATTCTAGTGTGTAACAAACACTCATATGTATCTCATAAACATGTAAATTATCATATATCAATTAAAAAGGAAAATAAAGTATCAAGAGACCAAACAGACCAAAAGCTTTGAGAACTGCTGAACTAGATCATTCCAAGGGACCAATCGGTGCTAAATATGTCTACAGCTTCATTTATAATTTTAGCCTCTTGGGCAACAATGTCCCCTCTACACTTATGACCTTTGATATAAAACAAGGTATCTTTGGGCAGCGCCTGTGGCTCAAAGGAGTAGGGTGCCAGCCCCATATACCAGAGGTGGCAGGTTCAAACCTGGCCCTGGCCAAAAACTGCAAAAAAAAAAAACTAAACTAAAATTTAAAAAACAGGGTATTTTTCGTTTTGTCCTGAATCTCCTTCCTTCAGAGTCCCAAGGGTCTCTGAAGACTCTGAGACTTGCTAAACAGACTTATGTACATATGGTATTGCTTAGAGAACACACACACACACACACTTCTGTAACACAGTAACATCCTCCTCCCTCCTCTCTAGTCTTAATATGGTCACACTATAGTTGTCTGTCTATAGACAACTGTTACAAGGGCTTTAAGGGCAGGAACTACACTACATGATATTCCAACAAACATGACCAGCACCTACCATAGTCTACCCAGTCATGTACTTCCAGGAGCTTACAGGCTACCAGGGGAGGTGACGAGGGCATGCAGATAACTTCCCCTTGTTATGAAGAGAAGGCTACTCGCAGCTGCAGGTTCCTTATTCTGTGCCAGGTATGACATGTGTCATGAAGACATTGTGCGTAGCAACCAAGAGTCTACCACTTATCCTCCCAACAACTTTCAGGTACCTATCGACACTGCCAATCTCTGGATGAGGAAATCAAAGCTCACACGTGTGACATGACGTGCCCAGGGTCAAGCCAGACCTGTATTTTCCCCTCTCACACCGCACAAGTGTCAAATGGGGAAGATAGAAGGAAAAAGTACCGGAGCACAGAGGAAGGAGACATTATTTGGGGCTGTGTGAGGGACCTGGAAGGCTTCCTAAGGGAGGAGGCAGGGTCTGCCCGAAGCCTTGGAAGGGAAGATGGTTCTGAGCAGCATCGAGGGAGGGAGAGAGCTCCAGGGAGGTATGCTCAGGTCCCAACCAACCGTTCCCCTACATCCCCACAAGGCCCAGCAGGGGAGGACACGTGGGTCGCAGGCTCACCGACATGGCCAGGTGCAGCGGGGTGTTGCCGTTCTCGCCGCGGGCATCAGCGTTGGCCCCATGGGTCAGCAGCACCATGACGCAGTCGAAGCGGTTACGCATCACTGCCACATGCAGGGCGGTGTTCCCCGCAGAGCTGGTGCTGTTCACGTCGCAGCCCCGTTTCAGCAGCATGCGGGCCATCTGTGGGAGATGGGACCAGGGTGAGGCAATGTGGGCACTCACACAGCAGTGATGGCTAGCAGCACTTGGGCACTGCTACCTCCTCTTTGGAGGCAACAGGAAGACTCCTGGGGACAGGTCCCAGTTCTGGGGTGACCCTAGATACTGGTTCCCATACCATCAGCACCCCAGGAACTGGGGAACAAAAAGCTGAAGATGTCCCAACCGTTTAAAAAGGCTTGTGGTCCTCTCCTGGACCTAACAGGACCCTGTCCTTTCAAATGCTCCTTCAGGCCCTGTCCCCAAAGTGCCCCACCTCTTGCATCCCTCCTGGGGATCTTGCAAAGGTATCACTCCTCCCTGGGCCCTGGCAACCTACATCTCTGTTGGCCCACCAGCCCTGAAAGGCCTGGGTTATAGAGGGAGTCTGGAGCCCGACCCCAGGCCACTCAGCCCAGCTGTCTATGTTTGGATGGGTCCCTACAGCCCTGGCACCTCAGGGTTCTCTTCTGTAGAAATGGAAATGCACAGAAGGTGGCGACAATGAATGACAGGACACACACCAGAGGACCAGACTTGGTGTCCAGCTCTTGGATCACTGAGGCTGGCAGTCCCCTCCCCTCTCATCCATCACATTTGTAGAACAGGCACAACCTCTGGGCATCCAGAGCCCTGCCCAGTTGTGCTTCCTGTGATTGAACCAGAGGGCCCCATCCTCCCAAGGGGCAGGGTGTGGCTTAGGAAGAGACCGAGAGGAGATGCCCAGACAGGCTCTCTGACGGAGCACTGGTCCCATCATCACCAGCATGATTCCCATCATCACTGTCATGCACCTGCTACTTGTAAGGCACTTCACAATTTGTGCAAAGTTTTTTCATTATTACCTCACTAGCTTCACAATATTTCCAAAGGCTGGAAGACTCCAATTCACAGATGATGAAACTGAACCACAGAGGCGATATCACCACTCAGCCAGTGAGCAGCGGGCAATGGCAGGATCTCAGCTTCCCATGAGCTTATCTGCCCTGGGCCCACTTCAAGATCAGCCCTCCTCAGAGAACCATGTGGCAGATGATCACGTGCCATCCTCAGAGTCCTCTCACAAACCTCTTTCCGGCAGGCACTGAGGACCCAAGGGTTCAGGGACCCTGCCCTGCCCTACCTCTGCATTCTTGGCCCAGTGGAGGGGGCTGGCTCCATAGCGAGGGTCTTTGCTGTGGATCTGGCTGCTGTCCATGCTGACAATCATCTCGGCACACCTGGAAAGAGAGGCACCAATGGGGGCAGGTGGAGTCATCAGCACTGGATGAAGCCAGGACTTGGGCCTTCCTCTCCAGCTTAGGGAAAGCATGCCTGCAAACAATGGTGAACCCAGCCACACACACACCTGGCATGTCCTCATGGCACATCCAACCCCCTCCTCCAGGAGGTCGTCCCGGTGACCACAACCAGAAACAATCACTCTCCCTGGTGCTGGCCTTAGAGTTGGACAGGCTTGAAGTCAACCCCCCAGTTCCTCACTGGTGACATCTAGAACCTGAGCACATCTGTAACACAGGGACAGTGCTAACAGAAGTGGCTTGGGATTAATGGAGACAAGGCATTTCAGAGCCCAGTTCTGTGCCTGGCACACAGCTACCCTCCATCTTCCCATCCCCCACCTATACCATTGGTATTTTATGTAGTGACCTGCGTCCTGGAGGGGCCAGGTTGCCGAGTGGTTAGGAGTGCAGCTGCTCTCCATTCCTCAGAACAGAACCAAAGGTGGGAATATATGTTATGTATGTTCTATCACAATGACTTTTTTGAGACAAGTCTCCCTCTGTTGCCCCAGGCTAGAATGCTGTGGTGTCAGCCTAACTCATAGCAACTCACACTCCTGGGGTCTCTGCAGAGAGTCACAGAGGACACTGCTCACCTCAGGCAGTGGACAGTGTGTGTGAGAGCTGGAGGCCCCAGGCTGGGGGTGGAGTGGCTGGGGAATAGAGTCTCACCCCTTCTGGGAGAACTTCATGGCTGAGTGGATGGGGTAGCCGCTGGGCCCCATGATGTTGCACCGGGCGTTACACAGCAGCAGCACGCGAACCATCTCCGGCTTCCCCAGCTGGCAGGCCAGGTGCAGCGGGGTCAGCCCCTGGTTATTCACCTGGTTCAGGCCAGCCGACGCGTTCTTTCCTAGGAGCTGCAGCAGGATATAGGCTGTGGGTGGGAGCCCAACCCAGAGGGGCCCCCTCTGTGTGTTCCCTCCCTAACCCACGCCAGGCCACCTCTCTCTAGGGACAGAAGGGGAAGGGAAGTTGGCCCCATAAGGACCCTGATAAGAATGTTCACAGAAGCAATGGAGAAAGGCTTTGGAGTAAGGAAGATACTAAAGGTGGCAGTGTGACCTGGGGGGTTGACCTGGCGTGTTTGTGGTGCACATGAAACATTTCTGAACCCAGAAACTATTTTTTTTTTTTTTGAGACAGAGCCTCAAACTATTGCCCTGGCATCACAGCTCAGAGCACCCTCCAACTCCTGGTCTTAAGTGATTCTCTTGCCTCCACAATGCCTGGCTATTTTTCGGTTGTAGTTGTCATTGTTGTTTGGCGGGCCCAGCTGGATTCGAATCCGTCAGCTCCAGTGTATGTGGCTGGCGCCTTAGCAGCTTGAGCCACAGGCACTGAGCCCGAATCCAGAAACTTGACAGGTGATCCTACCTCAGGATGGCAGTGGGGGTCTCAGTGGGAGCAAGTCTTGCTTTTCCTTCTGTCCTGCTTTTTAAGAGCTGGGGGAATTTTCTTTTCTCACTTTTGGCTGCATGCTGTCTCCTCGAGCTCAATTACAACCACTGTGGTGCACCCGCATGACACCACGGTCACCTCACAGAAGCCCCGCTGGGCCTGGCCCTGAGCCAGAGCCACAGCAGGGAGGGCAAGAGGCTGGCATGGAGGCTGGATCCAAAAGCTGGTCCCACCCTGTCAGCTTTGAGGCCCTTCCAAGACATACTTCTTAACTCCTCTAGAATCTCAGTCTCTTTGGAGAGGAAAAGAGGATAATGACCTCCACCCTATGAAGCCACTGTGAGAACTAACTAGAACTCACACAACACTCATGCTCGTCCAGGCACAGTCAGCACTTGACAAAGACCACTACAACATGTGTGACCTCTGAGAAGGGCACGTGTGCCCTCAGCATGGAGGCAGGGTCCACATGGCTCTGCACTGTATGCTTAGGGGGACTTGACTGAGAGTGAGTTCAACAGTGAGTGTGCAAGTTCCTGGAGAGCACGAAGCATAAGGTATGAATCCACACTTTCTAGAATAATGTAGTTCCATTCTGATGCCAAGGCAGAGAGAAGCATATAACCTTTAGAAGAATCTTCTGACTCTAGACAATACAATAGAATCTGAAATCTTGTCTTTTCCTTTCTACCTAATATATTAAGTAGCTTTTAAATAACATCACTCCTTCCACTTGCCCATAATTTCCTAGGATATCTTCTGTCCAGGTATTCAAAAATTAACAGGGGCATCACTAGCAGAAATGCCTACTGGAGGTGGAAAGAATTTGGTTTGGTTTGATTTCCTATAAACGGAGCCCTTCCAGGCAGGGGTCTGATTCAGGAAAGGGGAACTAAGCTAACTGACTGGAACTGGGCCTTGAGTCTAGTTTGATGGGTGGGAGGACCTTCCTGGGGTTGTCTAGCAAAGAGGCCAAGGATATGTTTCCTGGACAGGCATCGGGAAGGAAGGGCCAGGGAGGGGTACACCCTCCAGGTAGGAGCTCAGGCCTCAAGGACCAACGGGGAACAGTGAGAGGCTCAGAAATGACTCCTGAGCCCAGGGGCCCAAAGAGAACTGTGGGCACAGGAAAAGTCAGTACCAAACACTCTGGCCCTCCCCTCACTTACCTGCAGCACCTGGGAGTTGTCACCCTGGACAGCATAATGGAAGGCGGTCTCCCCCTTATTGTCAGTGACGTCCATCTGGGCGTGGCAGTACTGTACAAGCTCCACCAGGATCTCCCCATCACCTTTTCGGCAGGCCAGGTGCAGGGGGGTGCAGCCCTCCTCATTCTCTGTGCTGTTGGCACAGCTGCAGGGGAGGTTCAACATTCTTCTTTGTCTGAGCTCGAGAGCACTCCTGCCATATTCAAGCTGGCTGGTTCAAACTCAGGGTGGATTCATAATTCATTTGTATATGATGTGATTTGTATCAGGTTTTAGCTCCATTTGCACACTTGTTTGAGAGATGTGCCCCAGAACCACACCAGCAAGAAGTAGGCAGTGAGTGGCACAGAAAAGGGTCACAGAATGCAGAAATCTCATTAGCCCCGGGGGATTCATGGAACCTCCCTGGGCTTCAATATCTTCACCTACATAGCCTGCTGCGCCTGCTCAGGGAAGAGAGAGAGCTATGGCGAGATTAGATGCCATGCTGTCCAAGATCATGCCTGTGAACTGTAAAGCACAGCAAGGTTATGAGCTTTGGACCTGAGGTGGAGAACCAGAGGAGGTGTGGCCACCTCTGGGCAAGGACCAGCACAGTGCCCTCCCCAGGATGACTGCTGATACACCTGCTGGCTGAATGGATGTGCTACAGCAGGCAACCAGATCTAGAAGGCCACCCCAGGGATCTGAGCCCCTTTTCAGCCCTCTCCAGCTGAGGGACTTGCTGTCTTTGGGACTGTGGGACTTCATGTGGGCTGGGATGGTTCAGTTTCCTGGTGGATATAAGTCAGTTCCCAGGGGCTGGGTATCTGGTAAGCACCTGGACATGTGACACTGCTCCTTCTCACTTAGTCACCATTCTTACGTTCCCTCCTGGGGCAGAACTGAGACACCCCACAGCCCCACCTCTCTGCACAGCAGGCCCACACATTGTCCAGACGTTCGTGCCCCCCTGCCCACCTGATGACGCGGCTGTGATGGAAGCACTCGCGGATCCCCAGCTCCACAGCCAAGTGTGCCACTGACCAGCTGGGGTGGTTGCGGATGAGATCAGTCAGGTGCTGCAGGACCTCGGTGTGCAGTACATGGGAGGAGCTTTCATAGAAGGGTGGCAGCTGGGAGCAGTACTGCTGGAACAGTACCAGGGCATCGGCCTCCAACTCCAGCTGGAAGAGGCTGCGGGCCAGGAGGGAGGAGGGCAGAAATGAGCACACCACACCTACTGGGACCAGAAGGCTGTTTAACTTCTGGCCTGCTCCGGCCTCACTCTCCTCCCAGGGGGTGTGCATGCGTGTATGCACACACCTACATACATACCTAGATACACACACCCCTACATACACACACACTTAAACACCTACATATACACACCCCTACACACACACACACCCCTATATATACATATACCTAAACACTTACACATGTCCCTACATACACAAACCTACGTACACCCCTATACACACCTATATAAACACACACATACACACACCCTATCATACACATACCCTACACACACTCACCTCCATACACACCCCTATGTATACCCTAACATACACACACCTATATACACATACACTCCTACATGTACCCCAACATACACCCCTAAGTACACACACACATCACACATCCCTACACACACCCCTACACACACACACACACACACTCCTACATACATCCCTATGTACATGCACCCCTATATACCCACACTCCTATGTACACAAACATTCCTACAGCAACCTCAAACTCTTGGGCTTAAGCAATTCTCCTGCCTCAGCCTCCCAAGTGACTGGGACTACAGGTACCTGCCATAACGCCTGGCTATTTTTTTGTTGTAGTTGTCACTGTTGTTTAGTAGGCCCAGGCTGGGTTCGAACCTGCCAGCGCCAGTGTATGGGGCCAGCGGCCCTAATCACTGAGCACTATGGGCTCCAAGCCTCTGGGATATTTTTAATCTGAAAAATCTTTCTTTCTTCAGTGCCATCGCCTCGTGCTTCTGTGTTTTATTTTACCAGCTCTATCACGCCCACTTTCTCATTTCACTGCCATATCTGAGAGCTCCAGCCTCAAGAACTCGGCCCTTTGTACACAGTAGGAACTAAGCGAGTGCAGTGTAACCTAAATGTTCAACAGCAGAATAGTATATAAATCAGGGCCCATCTATGTGATGAAATACGGTGTGGCCATTAAAATGAGGTATTAAAAGAACAGGGAAATGTTTAATGTTAAGTTAAAAAGCAGGATAGAAATTACATGTAACACAGTGGGATCTTAACTGTGCAAAAAAAAGGATGGAAGGAAATATATTAAAATGTGCAGGGGAGTATGATAAATTTAAATGTGCTCCTTCATCCATTTGTGTAGTTCCTAAATTTTCTGTAATGAATATATATATTTTTTCATAGTTAGAAGAAAAGTTTTATTCATTTTTAAAGAGTTTGGATGAGTCCAAGTTTTGCCAGTAAGTTGCTGTGTGGCCTTGGAAAAACCCTTTCCCTCTCTGAGCCCCATATAAAAGATGAGACAAACTACACCTGTCCCACCTAGGTCCCAGAGGAGCTATGAGGACAGACGAGAAAGTACTGTAAAAGCACTTTATTAAACCATAACCAGTACACGTCAGGGTTACCTGAAGTGCTGACTAGGGCTTTCAACATACCAGAAGGCTTTGTGCTATATACAGCTCTGCACCCCAACAGCTAGCCGGGGTCTAGGGGAGCAGTGTCCTGAGAGTGCTGCCTCAACAGGGCGGCCTGTCCTTCCCCAGAGGGTGCAATCGCTCAACAAATGTGTACTGAGCATATGATCTGCGCATGACACCCTTACAAAATGGAGGGGTAAATGAACAGACAACACACATAACGTGCCCTATCCTCCCGCAGCATATGTTGTTACAGGGGAGATCAACAAAATGTGTAAAATAAAAACACACAGAAAGGAAGCACATTAAATAGACTATAAGGTGATTGGCGCTGCAGAAACAACAACAAAACCGAAAGGGGGTGAGAGAAGGAAACCATTCCTCATCCCCCTTGGCTGGCTTGATGGGCTTTCTTCCATCTCACGAACCGTGTTCCTGACATGTCAGACATAATGATAGCTGCAATTGGATCACTGGAGCCAGCATCATGGAGGCCTGAGTGACAAGAGGACTTCTGGTGCAGTGGTGGGGATTGAAGCCAGATTGCAGGAGGTTTAAAAAAGAAGGGGATATGAGAAATTGGAGACAGCTGGTGTAGATAATATTTTCGAAAGGTTTTGCTGCAGCAGTGGGCAAATAAAGGAAGGGGTATCCAATGGGGAAGTGTAATCAAGCATTTGATTGCTGATAGGAATGACCCAGAAGAAAACAGGTCTCTGAGGACTTCCACCTCCATTAATGATGCTAGGTAATGTGAAACAAACCATCTGCTGAGGACAACCAGAAATGCTGGACAAACTAAGAAGCATCTGCATACAGATACTCGGTGCCTAAAAATACAGTGACAAGTTACCAGGCAGGAAGGAACGACGGAAACCCAGGACCTGAGCCCAGTGTTCAGGGGGTTGTTCGGAGGTGGGGGGGAGGACAGGCAGCATCTTTACAGCTCCAGGGCCTAAGGACACAGGGACAGGAGTCCAGGGGTCTGCCAAGGGGAGAGCTCTGATGAGCATCTCTCACCTGGGGTTGGGATTCCAAAAGACTACAGCCTAGGAATAAGGGTGAGCCATACAAGGTCTGACCATTAAGCTTGCAAACTTGTGTCCATGCTGTACAAAGAGCTTGGTAAAGGTTCATCACCTTGGTATACCAATGTCTCACAGCTGTGTTCACACCAGTGTGTGGCAGTGTCTTGCTGAATGGCGTTCATTATTGTTATTGTGTGTTTTTGTGTGCCACTGTGAGAATGCTGGAGCTTAAATTAGAGCAACAAACAAACATTAAATTTCCTTGTTACATTTGGAAAGAATGGAAATGAAATCAGGGATGTGTTGGTCCAAGTTTATGGGGATAATGCCATACAGAAATTAGCAATGTGCAAATGGATTAAATGCTTTTCTGAAGAAAGAGAAAAAGCCACACGGATGAAGAGAGGTCAGAGGAGCCAGTAATGAGAACTGATGAAACATTGCAAAAATTCACTGAATTGTGCATTGAAATTGCTGGCTGACTGTGAGAAGCAGAGCAGACAAAGTAAACAGTGATAGAGAAACAGTTGGGAAAATCTTAGCTGAAAATCTTGGCCTGAGAAAGGTGTGTGCAAAAATGATCACAAAGGGGCTCACCAATGAACAAAAGCAAAGAAGAGTAGGAGTTTGCCAAAAACTTTGGAGAGACAGGATGATGTTTTGGGCTGTGTTATCACCAGTGATAAAACACTGTGTGTACTATTACAACCCTGAAACAGAGTGTCAGAGTATATAGTGGAAGTCAGCCAATTCTCCACAACCAAAAAAGTTCTGTCAGTCCAAATCAAGAGGCAAAATGAAGTTGCTAACCTTTTTTGATATCAAAGGGATTATTCATTATGAATTTGTACCAACTAGACAAACAGTTAACCAAGTTTACTATTTAAAAGTGATGAAAAGGCTGTATGGAAAAGTTACACAAAAACAAACTAAACTTTTCTCCAACAACTCATGACTCTTGCATTACAACAATGCACCAGCCCACTCAGTGCTGTCTATGAGATAGTTTTTAGCCAGTCAACAAATAAGTGTATTGGAACATCCTCCCTACTCACCTGATCTGGGCCCCAGTGACTTTTTCTTTACCTGAAGATCAAAAAAATATTGAAAGGAAGACATTTTGATGACATTCGGGACATCAAAAGTCAACAACAGTTGACAACAGTTCAGATGGCCATTCCAGAAAAAGAGTTCCAAAATTGCTTTGAAGGGTAGTCTAGATGCTGGTATTAGTGCATAGCTTCCCAAGGGGAGTACTTCAAAGGTGACCTTAGCAAAATTCAACAATGAGATATGTAGCACTTTTTCTAGGATGGGGTCTCAAACTCAACTGTCAGACCTTGGAGGTAGACAAGCCTTCCAAGGACCTCAAATAATTTCAGTTCTGGAAATTAGACTGAGGTTATCCTGATCAAGAGTATTCCCAGATACTGAGAGAAGCAAAACTAAATCTCTGAATAAGAAAATATCAAGCTAGGCTTCAAATTGTTTCAATATACAAATATGCAAAGTATATTTGCATGTACAATGACCAGCACACAATCAAAATTCACCAGGCACAAGGGGAGATAAGATGAGAATGAAAACCAACAGAAACAATATCTAATAAAAACAGATCAATAAGTGAGAGAGTGCTATAAATACTAAAGTCATCCAACACAGATTTTAAAATAACTGTGATAATATTTAAGAAGTTAAAATAGGAAGTTTAGAATTTTAGCAAAGAAATTTAAACTAGGCTCGGCGCCTATAGCTCAACCGGCTAAGGCGCCAGCCACGTACACCTAAGGTGGCGGGTTCGA